TCCTGTTTTCGACTGTCATTATAATTATGCTTTGAATGTATGAATCTTGAATCCTGGTTATGTGCAGTATTTAATTTTTTACTATTCTCAGTTTTTTCCGGTTTTTTGTATCGTTTTTAAGTTTTTCAGGGGGTCTAGGGGTTTTGATTTGATAGCCTCTTATCTTTTTTTTTTATCGAGAGAATTGAAACGGAGAGTCCGGTTAGTGCGAAACTCGGACCCTTTGGCATATGCTTCCACACTGTACAGTTTAAAGCGTTTGCAGAAGTTCTTTGTATCTTTTTTTCGAATTCTACGATTTTTTTTTTAAAGTTAGTGAAGTAATTTTCACAAATCTTGTTGATAAAAATACGCACAAGCCATCAGTTTCGGAATACTACAGTCCGTCTTTGGCAGAAATGTGGGTGCCTAAGAATGATAGAATAGAGCCGGGGTGCCGGAGGTAACCTAGGACAGTACAGAGTGAAGGGCATCTGGTTGCATCACTGAGGATAGTCGCAGTCGGCATAGTTATCAGTTTACTTCGAGATCCCTCCTCGCACCTCTTTGGGGATGGTGACAGCACATGCGAATTGCGATCGAGGCACTGGCAGTTTGGTAGACGACGAAGCCTGAGGATTATCGAGATCAGGTGACGATGGTTGCTGCGTGGACGGTAGAAGTAGTAATAAGTTTGGTGGTGACTTAATTGCTATATGTGCCCGCTTCTTAATCATCAGCCACATGGGATGGAAGAACCATGGCAGCGACGTAAATGCCATGAGCTGGAAAGTTGTAATTTGTCTGATGACAACGACAGCTCTGATAATCGCTTGAAGTGTAGTGCTGCTAGCGGGATTGATACCCGTTAAAATAGAAATAACCAGTGATAAGAACATGTGTCAAAGAGGTGATGGGCTTACGGTGGAGTAGTATGTACTGCGATCAACGTGGATTATGAAAACTTTCCTGCATTTGTCGTACAACCAACATATTACTGTACCAGGACCGCAGAATCGCAATAATCACTGCAAGTACCGGGCAGTTC